TATTATATATTATATATTATATATTATATATATGTATGTTTATGGATAGGTGGGTGGATGTATGGATGGATACACTTCTACTACTACGGGGATACTCCTGCTGATGCTGCTGCTGCTGCTGCTTATGCTGCTGCTGCTGTTGCTGTTGCTGCTGCTGAGGCTGGTGGGATATTGCCGGTGATGGAGGCGGTGGTGGCGATATTGCTTTTGCTGCTGTTATTGCTGCTGCTGCTGCTGCTGCTGCTGCTGTTGAAGACGATGTGGGCGCAGAAAGCACGAAAGAACGGCAGATGCAGCAGCAGCCGCAACAGCAACTGCTGCTGCAGCGGCCGCAGCAATTGCTGCAGGTGCAGCAGCAGATGAAGCAGCAGCAGCTGCTGCTGCTGCTTCAGCAGAAATCTCTTCTCTCGTTTCCCTAGAAGGCTCCATTGAATTCCTACTGAGGGTTTAGGGTTTAGGGTTTGCTTACTCCTACTGAGGGTTTAGGGTTTAGGGTTTGCTTACTCATATTGAGGGTTTAGGGTTTAGGGTTTGCTTACTTGGTATTTGAACAGCTCTTGGCTCAGCACGCAAACCGCCATACTCACGCGAGGCCTCTGCAGCACATCAAACCCTAAACCCTAAACCCTAAACCCTAAACCCTATCCTCTAAACCCTAAACCCTAAGCCCTATTCCCTAAGCTGCAAGCCTTATTCCTGAACATTATGAGTTTGCACGAGGGTTTATTACGAGGCCGCCGACACGTTGTACGTTAGGGTTTAGGGTTTAGGGTTTAGGGTTTAGGGTTTGGGGTACCTTTGCGAATGTGTTGAGTCTGTGAAGCTCCACCTGAGTGGAGAGCCAATCACACATATGATCGAGGTCTGCTGCAGTGCCTGCACCTGCTGCATAGATGCTGCTGCTGATTTTATGCAGCTTGTTGCAGTTCTTATCTGCTACAAGGGGCCCCTCTGTAGCTCTTGTGTCTGCTCCTAGGACAACCCCACCATTAAACACCACCCCGCATATAGTTGTACCAGTCTTACGCAGAGGAGGCATGCGGTAGCCTCCATTTCCTGCTGCTGCTGTTCCTGCTGCTGCTGCTGCTGCTGCTGCTCCTGTTGCTGGCGCTGCTGCTGCTCCTGTTGACTGCAGCAGCAACGAGACGTTGCGGCTGTGGTTGCTGAAGTCAAAGCCCCCAAGCTGGAGCTGCAGCTGCTCAACAGAACCCATCTTCTGCTGCTGCTGCTGCTGCTGCTGTTGCTGTTGCTGCTGCTGCGGTCAACTCTGCTGCTGCTGCTGTCGAGCTGCGGTGTATGCACACCTGCGAGGGAGAGCCAACAGGAGAAGGCCCTCGAGTTATGATTTATTAATTATGTTATAAACATACAAACAATGTCTCTCTTCTCTCTAACTGCAGCAGCAGCAGCAGCAATAGCAGCAGCAGCAGTAGCAGCAGCAGCAGACAGCAGCCCCTCCCCCACGGGCCAGCCCCCTTTACCCTAAGGCCCGCCTTTAGTAGATTTACTTTTTAAGGATTTTAACTCTCTTTTTAACTCTTTTCTTGTTTTGTCTGTTTGTTATTGATGAGGCAATTTAGGGCTCTTGTCTGCTATTCGCAGAAGAGTACAAGGGTTTAGGGTTTAGGGTTTAGGGTTTAGGGTTTGTTTACGAGACTTCTTCTTTAAGGACAATCTTTAGGCGCACAAGGGCTGCCCTCTTTCTCACTCACACAACTCAATACAGAGGGACTAGGGTTTAGGGTTTAGGGTTTAGGGTTTAGGGTTTTGTAGTATAACGGTCTCTACACCCGTGAGGCGTACACACACCCAAGGATTTAGGGTTTAGGGTTTAGGGCTTTGGGGTTTCTGCCCTAAGGGAGCCACATAAACAGCAGCAGCGCTGCGTGCTGCTGCTGCTGCTGCTGCTGCTGCGGCTCTGCAGCACCATGGGGAAGACCGGCAGCGCCGACACCGGGGGTAACTGCAGCAGCAACAGCAGCAACAAGGACAGCAGCAGCAGCAACAGCAGCAGCAGCAGCAGCAGCACCACGACGCGATGCCCAACGGGTGACGGGGCCTTTCCGTCCCCAACCCCTGACGAAGCCGCAGGAGCAGCAGCAGTAGCAACAGCTGCTGCTGCTGCTGCTGCTGCTGCAGACCGAGATGAGATCGAAACTGCAGCAACAGCAGCATACACACAAGTTCACGTGCAGCAGGAGCAGCAGCATAACCAACAGCAGCAGCAACAGCAGCAGCAGCAACAACAGCAGCAGCAGCAGCAGCAGCAGCAGCAGCAAGTGGTGGTCCGACGAATAGCTCCACGCCGCGTTGCTTCTTTTGCTGCCTTAAACCCCCGTCAGGGCGAGTCAGACAGAGCAGAGGAAGATGCTGTACCTGCTGTTGCTGCTGCTGCTGCGTGCAGAGGCCGCAGCAGCAGCAGCAGCAGCAACAGCAGCAGCAGCAGCAGCAGCAGCAGCAGCAGCAGCAGCAGCGGAGTTTTGGCCGCCTATTTTGCTGAGCAGTCTTCAGGGGGAGATGCAGTTGCTGCTGCAGCAGAAGAAGTGCTGCTGTCTTCAGATGAAGGCGAAGCTACGGACGCAGTTGATCTCTGTTCTTCTTTGACAGCACCATCAGCATCAGCAGCAGCAGCAGCAGCAGCAACAACGGGTACAGGGGTTCAGAGGGGCTCAGGGGCAGCTGCACCCCGCAATAACCGTCAGGTCGGCTTCGCTAGATTGAGGACCTTCGATAAAATCAATGAAGTGAGTTGCTGCTGCTGCTGCTGCTGCTGGCGTTGCTGCTGCTGGCGTTGCTGCTGCTGACGCTGCTGCTGCTGCTTGTGGTGTGGCTGTTGCTGCTGCTCGTGCTGCTGCTGCTGGTGTTGCTGCTTCTAATGCTGCTGCTCTGCTCTTCCACTTGCTGCTGCTGGTGTGTTTGCTGCTGCTCTGCTGGCGCAGTAGCTGCTGCTGCTGCAGTTGGTTTTGTTTCTGCTCCTGCATTCGGTTCTGTATTTGCTGCTGTTGCTGTTGCTGTTGCTTCCGCTGCTGCTGCTGCTGCTGGAGTGCATGCGAACCCTTTACATGGCTAGATTGCCCTGGTGCTGGTGCTGCTGCTGCTGCAGGCTCTGCGGCTTTCTGAAGCAGAGGAGAAGGAGTTGCTGTCTATAGCGGAGCAGCAGCAGCAGCTGCTGCCAGATATGCAGCGCGGCCGCTGGCTGCAGGCATGGGTGGAGCCTTCTGCTGCTGCTGCTGCAGCTGTTGCTGCTGCTGGACCTAAGCAGGTGCGTTTGTTTGTTTTGCTTGTCCTGTGTCTAATCGCTGTTGTCTCTTTTTATTTATTTATTTCTTTTGTCTCTCTCTTTCTCCTCAACTAGTGGTTTAGGGTTTAGGGTTTAGGGTTTAGGGTTTGTGTGCCGCGGTGTCTGTTCCGCTTTGTCTGTCTCTTTGTTGCTGTCTCTTTTCTGGTTTAGAGTGACGTACAAAGTATCTTCTGCTGCATGCGTGTTGCTTGCTGCTGCTGCTGCTGCCTTCTCTTTGCTGCTGCTGCTGCTGCTGCTGCAGGAAGGTGCAGCAACAGCAGCAGCAGGGGTGCTGCCATTCTCTGTACAAGGACGTCTCTACACCTTGGGAGTCCCTACGCAGCATCATATTTCAATTTCTGCTGCTGCTCCTGCTGCTGCTCCACCAGCAGCAGCAGCTGCTGCTGCTCCTGCGCACCGACAGCCGCCAGCAGCAACAGCAGCAGCAGCAGATCCTGGTGCTGGCGCAGCAGCAGCGGCAGACACAGCAGCAGCAGCAGCAGCAGGAAGAGTTGAAGTAATTGAAGTAACCCCAGAGGCCTTGGTGCCTCTGAAGGATTCGGCTGTCTCTGCAAGAAGAATTAAAATACCTGTCGGGGCATTCAGAAGGGTGAGTCTTTGTCAACTGCTGGGGTGTATAGGCACCTTTCAGGTGTATAGGCACCTCTCAGGTGTACAGGCATCTTGCACTGTATAGGCACCTCTTTTGAGGAGTCTGTAGGAGTTGCATGCAGCTGTGGGGTGTACAGGGACATGTAGGGTTTACAGACAGACACAGGCGGGGTGTATAGGCAGCTTTGGGGTGTATAGGCACCTCTCAGGTGTACAGACACCTGCTGGGTACATGCGCATCTCCGCAGCACTTTAACGAGCCCTTGCTTTCGACCATCCAAGACCTGCTTCATTTGCTGCTGCTGCTGCTGCTGCTGCTGTCTTGGTTTGTTGCTCTGCTGCGCTGCAGAGGGAGGATCTGCACAAAGGCCAGAGGCCCGTGTGCCTCCGTTTCGTTTCTGCTGCTGCTGCTTCTACAGCAGCAGACGAGGGTCACCCACAGCAGCAGCAGCAGCAGCAGAAAGGGCCTGCGGGAACGGCAGCAACAGCAGCAGCAGCAGCAGCAGCAGGAGAGGGAGTGTCTGAGGAGGAGGAGGAGCAGCAGCAGAAGACTGCGTTATTGAAGTTCTTG